TGTTACTGATCTTTCTTGTTAGTGATGTGTGCATGGACCCATTGTGGCTGTGGTCATTCTCTTGCATGTGTGGAATGAAGTTATTATGTTGGACTTCCATCCACATCCCCCATTGAGGTGGTGGGTCCAAGTGCAGTGGTGTTCACAATTATTTGATCATTAATCAGTTAGATTTCTTTGTTCCCTCTCCACTCCCACTGCTTCACTTGACTCACCAAGAACATGTCATTCCATAGTAATAATAAGAATGACGCAGTGTATTTTAACAAACTTAAGAAGGGTCATTTAACTTTTCACTTTGTCCCCTGTGCTGTTCCCAGAGTCTCTTGGCAGGGAGATGAGAAGTTTTGTTACAAAGATGAATAAGTTAGACAGTAGAAAAACATAAATTTTGATATTAACAGGTTTTGTTTAAATCAGTTGTAACATAAAATTTGTATCAATAACATAAAATTTAACAGAGATTTATAGTTAAGTTTTATGATAAAAAATCATGTTATAAATATTGTGACTTTGATTATAAATTAAAATGATTATATAGAGTATAAACAATTGTCAAACATAACTAATCAATGCTATTAAAATCAAGTATAGTAAGTATAAGTAAGATTAAAAAAGGGTTAAATTGTAAGCTAAGAAGGTTAAGAATTATAGTTCAAACTAAAAGTCTGATGCTCTTTAAAGCCAAACATGCTGCTATTGTATAGTTTTCTGGCCACAAGCCACAGGCTTTGGGGTGAACTATTGATGCATGAGTAGATGTTTTTATCACAGCATGAGTGCTTTGGAACTTTCTGATTTTTCTTTTTCTACAGAGATGAAATTAAAAAATAAATCATCGTGGGCCGGCCCGGTGGTGCACTGCTATAGTGCGCCGATTGGGAAGCGCAGTGGCGCTCCCGCCGAGGGTTCGGATCCCACATACAGACCGGCCGCTCAGTGGCTGAGCGAGAGGCGGGAGCAACACCAAGGGTTGCGATCCCGTGGCTGGTCCCGGCCCGGTACGGGCGCGACACTGAGGGTTGCGATCCGTTGCCGGTCATGAAAAAAGACAAAAAGGAAAAATTAAAAAATTAAAAAATTAAAAAAAAATAAAAAAATAAAAAAATAAATCATCGTGTGAAATGTTAAGTAAAAAAATATAAATAAAGCAAGATTCTTGTGGTTGTTGTCCACACTTGCACTAGACACTTGTGGTCCGCCTTCTTCTTTTTTCCTCATCCTATCCACACCACCTATTCAGGTTCAATGAATCCTGCGGAGCTGGTCTCTGGCAGATAAGTAAATATAAATATAGTAAATTGCCATCTACCTAAACATACACTTAAACCAGGCACCTCTAAGGCATCAAACTTCATCATATTTATAAACACCATTTCTCACTAGTCATTATTTTCATTCACAAAGAAAGTTTTCCAATTAGATTTGTCATATTAAGTAATTCAGTTAAATTAATTATATATTTACTAAGACAGTGGGAAAAATGCAAGAGAAGGAAAGGCAAAACAGCTAAAGTAGTTTAACTATTAATCTGAATAAATTTTCAATTTTTATAAGGGAAAAAACAGTGAAGAATTGAGTTTAAATGGTTGGGGTTTGCTATCACTAAATCTATTCAAGGGTATTTATGTCACCTAGAAAAGCATTTTGGAAGCTAGTCATCATACATAGCCTAAAACAGTCAATATATTTCAAAAAACAAATCAATAATTGTTGAAAGATACTTCAAACCATTAACATGAAGGCACAATTCCCATTTTGAATTATAAGGAATTTAGGTGGAAGAATCAGACATACTTATAAAGTTAGTTCAGGTTTAGGAAACATCTGTGGTACAAAAAAAATTGATCATTTTATCAGCAATTTTAGAACATACAAGTATTTGGAGTAGACATCATATCTGCAGGTGGGAAAGAGTTTGATTATTTTTAACTAGAAGGATAATCTTTAATATTTTCCTTCACTTAACCAAATTACTTATTACAAAGGATATGGTTTCATACAAAAACATAAAATAATGCAGGAGAAAAATAGAAGTCAACCTACAAGATATGATGTAGCTATTGAAATGACTAGATGTGCATACTCGTTCCTGTACTAGTGACAGATTTGAACAGGAATCACTAAATGCCACCTGCAGGCACATCATGTCAAGTGTGTATGAACAATAATAATTTTATGGCGGTGGAGCCAAGGGAAATATCCTGAGATTCTTTGTACAAGCCAGAACAATAACATATGTAGCTGATTTACAGCTAATTAAAGGATTAATGTCAAAGAGGTTATTAGAGTTTGCTGTTTCCTTTAATTCTTGGAAACATGTTAATTAGTTTGTCCAAAAGGTATGTTTATAAATAATGTATATAAGCAGAAACAGAAATGGACAGCAACCCAACTTTTTATAAAAACAAAAATATTCTAAGCTCAAACATAAATCTCTTCTTTTGAATATAAGATTAGTATCTAAATTATTTTACTTATGATCAGTTCTGCAAGCACATTAAAAATAATCACTAGTTTAATTAATTAAAAGTGTCCAATAGGCATGGCTCAATTCATTAGCATGAAGAAAAATATATGATTTTATACGATACCTGTAATGATAAAAAAGATCTGTTTAGTTAAAATTGTAATTCTGTGCTGACATGATAGAATGACTTCTTTAATCAGGAACTGCAGATGACTAAGAAGAAAATACAATTGATAACTCTTCAATATTTTAGGCTATATGAAAGGTTTGGAACAAGTTACAGGATAGAGAAAGGAAGGAGTATAGATCAAAATTATTTTGCTTAGTTCCTTGACATTCCAGGCAGTTTCTATGCCTGTAATCATTATTCTGCTAGAGTAAGTGCTCGGCATAAGTTTACCAGGAAGGACTTAGACTGGAGATAGTATTAGTGAATGTGCTAATCAGAGTCCTGTCATTTATAAGCTGTATAACCCTGGATAAACATAGCCTCTACTAGGCCTTACATTCCAGATGAATAAAGGAAGGATGATTTCCAGATCCTGTTTAGCTGTAACATTAAGAAGTTCTGAATGTTTGAAATTTAAGCCATTTTTAATCTTCATATCCTATGGTTGCCACTACAGACTACTAAATGTACAAGGAAGGATTAAAAATCAAACAATCCAAATAACACTTGTAGCATATAGGCAGGGCCCAACAATATACTAAATCTAATAAGTTTAGTGAGAGCAACTTTTCACTTTCTTATTAACTGACTGCCACCCAAAAAGTTGCCTCTCCCTAGAAACAGTGAAACCTAAGAACCTGTCCTACTTCGGCCATACATTTCCACAATCCAAGAGGTTTAAACTGGACTAAGTCCACAATATGAAAAATGCCACAGTGAGCCTGGCAGAATTGCTTTTCCTGACTGACAAATTTAGTATCTTCCTAACCTTTATATCTAATCTGTTGGAACTAGCTGTAAACTACAGACCAGATCAGTGGAAGATGTAACCTCAAAACTAAAGTTCAGGTAAGTTCTAGATTAAGAGTTTCACTTTAAAATATAAAGTGAGCTACAATGAAAAAAATATGTTGATATATGGAATAAGTCTTCTAAATCTCCCTACAGAAAACAAAAATCACATTATAAGAAGATATTTTTAATCCATATGGGACATTTTATAGAGCAACTCAAAGTATTTTATAGAAATTACCCATTAAGTTTCATGACACTTCTGCAAAGAGTCAGGTATTACTTAACTTTTTCCAAAGGAGGCAAAGAAACAAAAAAATTCAAGTTACTTCTCTGCCAATAAAATAGCTCTCTATTTCACATCTAGCACTGTAACTTGTGAAAAAAGGTGTTCAATCCTGTGATAAATAATATTAACTGAAATGCCTTAGCTTTTTGAAAAATGTTTGACTTCGCACAAGATGTGAGTGCAAAGACAGTGTATTGTATTGCTTAGCATTTATCCTAATCACTTAGTTCAGTATCTGCCACACTATAGGCACTCATTATATATTTGCTCAAAGAATAAAGGCTATTAATAGTAGCTGACAATTACCAGGGCTCATATACATATCAGCTACCCTGCTAAGTACATCACGTATATTATTTCATTTAATCCAACCAACAATTGAATGAGGTAAGTTATTATTCCTTGTTTTACTCATAATGAAACTAAAGCCTATATTAAGTAACTTGCCCAAGATTAGAAAATGATAAAGCCAGGATTTTAACAAATGTAGCCCAACTTTAGGTCTTGTTTAAAGATCATGATTATGGATAGAAGAGCACTAGACTAGTAGTAAGAAACCCCATCTATAATCTAGCCCCTCTATAACTACTTCCTTGGGGAGAAGGGAAATTTCTTATTGATCTTTATATCGCCTTATAATGCCTAACATAGTACCTTAGTTACATTACTTTTCATCAAATGTTTCTTGAATAAAATCAAAATCGCATAAACAAATAAGGCTTCATTGTCCTCAACTATAAGATGAAGATACAGTTATCTGCACAGTCGACCTCAGCAGTTCTCAAAGTATGGTTGCTAGATCTGGAAATTTTGTCAGAAATGCAAATTCTCAGGCTCCACCCCAGATCTTCTGTATCAGAAATTGGTGTTTAAACAGGCCCTCCAGGTAATTCTTATGCATGCTAACATTTGAGAACCACTAGTCTACTTTATACAATAATGATAAGGATCAAATGAGTTCAATAATGTAAAAGCACCATAAAAAGTCAAAGGTATATCATCATCATTATTATTAAAAGATTAAATTATGCTTCTTGAAAAAAACCAGTGATTTTGCTAAATCCAGATATAAATGTACTAGAGATCCAGATAAAAAATGAAATAGATCATAAAATACTTTAAAAATAAAATACTGTTCTAGATTTTATCTGGATAATGCATAGCAATCATGGATCCAGAGCAAAAGAGGACTACGATCCATAAAGTTGTACTAGAAATCTGATAATATTGTCATGCAGTGGTTCAACCCAGAGATCTGACATGCTGTGCAGATTCCTTACCTGACCAGTGACCAGTGGAGATGCCAGATCTGTCCGTACATGTCTCACTTACAGGTCTAAACACAGTCTCCCAACCACCAGTAGCATAGCGCCAATTCTGAGATTCCAAGATGAGTGTTCGCTGGGTGCCATATGCAATCATGAAACAGTAAACCACATGATGGAGTTGACAGCCATAGCCACAGCCTTTGTTGATATTACATACCAGCTTCTTGGCTTTGCTGCAGTCCTTAGGATTCTGTCAGGGAGAAAGAGAAACAAAAGTGAAGATAAACTCTACTGAGAGCTCAACTTCTCTTTACAGGTGACAAGTATCAAAAATCACATAATAAGCCAGGACTGAGTCAGTATATTTCATATTAAGCAACGAATCCAGCTTTTTTTGGATCAAATAATCCAGTGAAAATTTTATGTGCAAGTTCATGGAGATGGCAGTGAAAAAGAACAGTTACTTTGGAAACATCACTAAACAAACATGAAATTAAGTGGTCACATTCTAAAAAAATTTCTTTCACTTCTCTATCACTCAGAACATGCAAATGTGATCATCTCTGAACTCAAAGTTGTTTTATTAAAGAAGCAAAACAGTTCATTTACTCCAACATTTCTTTCACTTCTCTATCACTCAGAACATGCAAATGTGATCATCTCTGAACTCAAAGTTGCACACACTGAGATATTTATTAAAGAAGCAAAACAGTTCATTTACTCCAACAGCACTTCAGCGTTCTGATCTTACCTTCTGTGATAAAACTCAAATTATCTTAAAGGAAAAACTATAACGTATCTATTAATTTCGTCTATCTCCAGAGTTCTACATGTTACAAACAAAATCTATTTTTTTCATCATGAAGTAAAAGCCACTGAGTGAAAGGGATATCTGAATTCAACAATTACAAAATATCCGTCACGGAAAAAAAAAATTTTTTTTTTGAACCATCCCTTATGATTGCTAACAGCAATTTTCACAATCAAACGTAGAACAAGTTCTATACTTGCTATCCTGAGAATGTGTTATACCATTTTTAATCAGGAGATCCATTTTTCTATTTATATGCTTTGCCATAAGATAGTTAGCAAATGGTTAACTAATATGAGAATTTTTTTTTTCCATTCTAAAGTTTCAATTCTGCTCTAATTTGTATGAGCTGTTACTAAATATCCCTAGGCATCTTAGTCCCTCATATAACAATTTGTTTTGACAGGGACTCTTTAGACTGAGAAGTTTTCTAGGCTGTTTTGTCTTCAAGGGAAGAGTGAGGATGGGTGCTTCTACGAACAGAATCTTTTTTTTCCACATAGCAAGACGTAAGGTAACAGTTCTCAATTTATATGAGCTTTGAATAAAGCAGTCATCAAACCCCAAATCTAAAACTATTTTCCAGTATATCACCTGTTCTGTCAAGGAGAGCACTAGAAACATGAGCTAAGACGGTGAGGCTATAAAATTATTCTGAAGGAAAAGCTGAGAAGGGAAAATGTGATACAAGCTATATTCAGAAGAGGTACCTTTCACATTCAAATGTGTCAGGGCAAGCTGGTCTTTTTTAGATTAAAGCAGAAACAGTATCATCAAGAACCTCAGGAAAAGTTAGAGCCCTTATGAATCCAAGAGAGCCCTGATAAAATTCAGCAAGATTTAGTCAATATTGTTTTCACAATCAAATATTAGAGTTGCTGATTCTTTTCACTTGAGACTATGAACTGATTCCTAAGGCAACAAGCACTCCTATTCTTGTTACTATAGACACAAAAGATTTGAGAGGAACAGGAGTGTGCAGTCATCTGGGTATGGGAGACCTACATTATTTAATTTCTGTATGATATTATACAAGAATCCTGGGAATAAATAATGTTCTCAAATTGATCCAAAACTTTATTATTGACTCAGTAGTCTATCAAGAGGGCAGATAAGTGACACTGACATTTTGTGAGAAATATAGTATTTGAATATCTTTAAAATTCATGTGGCCAAAAAAGAAAATGTTCTTCATATGTTTTTCAATAAGTTTTTTCTTTTAGGACACATATATGTACTAAATTATTTCAAAGGCAGTACAGAGAGTTCCCATATACCCCATGCCCAGTTTCCACTATTATTCCACCTTAAGTTAGTTAGCCTTTATATTTTTTTAAGGAAAAAAAGAGTAAGGGAACATAATGTTTGAAGCATCTTGCATTTAGTTTGAAAGCTATAGATTTCTTTTAAAAAAGACATCTTCATTTAAGAAGCACATTTACTGTGGGTTTTAATAGAAGAATTTAGTTACAACCCAATGCTTTGAGCATAAGAGCTGAGACCTAAGAGAAAGGAAAGGTCAATTTATGAAAGAGGCTTATTCATAACATTTAGTGCGCCTCAAATCAAGTGGAAAAGAGAATATCAGGGTACTTCAAAAAGTTCGTGGAAAGATTTGTAGTTATCTTTCAGTTCTATTTTTCCAAGAACTTTTTGAAGTACCTTGAATATTAATTGTTTACATTATGTCATAGGCACCACAAAGAAAGGGGGGGTAACCCCATTATGCTTGGTTTTGAAATAAGAAAGGTCTACATATATAAAGTAATCAATGGAAGACTCCAAGGCAGAGCGCCATAAGAGAAAATGAATCACTGTTTAGAATGATAACAGTAAATAAAACACTGAAAAAATGCATAGCCACAGTTCAATTTTTTGTCATAATAATATTTGAGTCTGGAATATTCAAAAGATCTTGCTCATAAAAGGTCTAGAAAAAAGCAGAGGACAGTGAGAAATAGGAAAGGTATATTTCTTCCTAACACAAGATTAGGCTCACCAGAATAAATACTGGGAAAAAACAAGTAGATATTTCTAAGGTAAATGGAGAGGACTTTAAAAAAAAAAAAAAAAAAAACTCTGAGATGGACAGGGATTTATTCTGATGGAAAGGAACTTTATAAGAAACCTCTAATCTGAGCTAAATTTTTGTTATCCACGATTGTTACAGAGTAGCAATAAACATAAAAAGATATATGGGAGTCTATAAAGGAGAAACAGAGCCATAGTTTTGTAATCTTCAAATTTCTTACCAAATCGCCTTTGTTAATAACCACTGACACTAGTTTTATACTTTCTACTTGATGCCTGCAAAAGGCTTGAACATGTGTCTCAACCACAAGCAAGAATATGTAGAAGGGCCTCATTACTAAAAAGAAGCCTTATTTAAATCATGCTAATACTTTTTATTTCTGATGATATAATCTGTTTTCCAATTGTTTCCAGTTTGCCTAACACACTCACTTCCATATATATATATATATATAGATAGATATATATAGATATATCTCTCTACCAGTTATGCAAGACAGCAGGCATAATGTTTTGGTTATTGTGATTCTTATCAATCTTTCCCTCCTTCCCCTTTTACAATATTCCCTCCACTTATCCACATATCCATTCACCACACACACACACACACACACACACACCCCCCATAATACACTCCAGCACAAAGAGTCTCAGTAGGAAGTAATGTACTTCTTATTTGGGAGTAGAAGATGAGAGAGTACAGACTGAAAACGCCTCCACAAGTTCCCTGGGGGAGAGTCTCAGTCATGTCTCCCTCCTTCTGCCTATTTAATATTCATTCATTCTTTTTTTTTTTTGAAACATAATTAATTGTACATATCTATGGGGTACATAGTTGAATATTAAGACCTGTTTTAAATATGTGATGCTCAAATAGGAATAATTAACATATTCAACAACATACACAGTAATCATTTTTTTGCGGCCCTTTACCAATTCCTTGCAACTCCCCCCCCGCCCCATGCTGCGAATGGCAGAATTTCATTCTTTTTTATGGCTGAGTAGTATTCCATTGTGTATATATACTACATTTTCCTTATCCAGTCATCCATCAATGGACATTTAGGTTGGTTCCATATCCTAGCTATGGTAAATAGGGTGGCAAAGAACATGGGAGTGCAGGTATCACTTCAACATGATGATTTCCATTCCTTTGGGAATATACTCCACAGTGGGATTGCTGGATCATAGTGCAGTTCTATCTGTAGTTGTTTGAGAAGCTCAATACTGTTTTCCATAATAGCTGCACTAATTTACAGTCCCACCAACAGTGTAGGAGAGTTCCCCTTTCTCTGCGTCCTCACCAACGTTTGTTATTCTGTCTTTTTGATAATAGCCAGTCTAACTGGGGTAAGATGATAACTCAATGTGGTTTTGATTTGCATTTCCCTGATGCTTAGTGATGTTGAGCAGTTCTTCATGTGTCTGCTGGCTGTCTGTATATTTCCCTTTGAGAAATGCCTACTCAGCTCCTTTGTGCATTTTTAAATCAGGTTACTTGTCTTTTCTCCTGTTAAGTTGTTTGAGTTCCTTGTATATTCTGGATATTAATACCTTGTCAGATGCACAGATTGCAAACACTTTCTCCCATTCTGTAGGTTGTCTTTTCACTCTGTTAACTGTTTCTTTTGCTGTACAGAAGCTTTTTAGCTTCATGTAATCCCATTTGTTTATTTTTTTCTTCTCTGTGTTTTTGGGGTCTTGTTCATAAAGTCTTTGCCCAGTCCTACTTCCTGAAGTATTACCCCTATATTTTCTTTTAGTAGTTTTATGTATGTCTTATATATGTCCTTAAACCATTTTGAGTTGATACTGGTATATGGCAAGAGGTACAGGTCTAGTTTCCTTATTCTACATATGGATGTCTACTTTTGCCAGCACCATTTATTGAAGAGGTAGTCTTTTCCCCAATGTATGTTCTTGGTGACTTTGTCAAAGATCACTTGGCAGTAAGAATGTGGGTTGCTTTCTGGGTTCTCTATTCTGTTCTATTGGCTGTGCATCTGTTTTTATGCCAGTACCATACTGTTTTGGTTACTATAGCTTTGTGGTATAATTTGAAGTCAGACAGTGTATTGCCTCTGGCTTTATCTTTTTGCTCAGGAGTGCTTTGGGTATTTTGGGTCTTTTGTTGTTTCATATGATTGTTAGGATTGTTTGCTCTATTTCTGTGAAGAATGTCATTGGTATTTTGATGAGGATTGCCCTGAATCTGTAGATTGCTTTGGGTAGTATGGACATTTTCACAATGTTAATTCTTCCAATCCAAGAATGTGGAATGCCCTTCCATCTTTTTATGTCCTCTTTAATTTCTTTCAGTAGAGATTTGTAGTTCTCATTGTAAAGATCTTTCACTTCCTTCGTTAAACTGATTCCTAGGTATCTTATATTTTTTGGTGACTACTGTA